ATCAACGTTCGCCAAATTTGTGTGATTTTCTATGGTGTGTGTGTGTGTGTGTGTGATCTACAGAGACGGGGACCGGACAGGGTACGGAGGGGCATGGGGATTGGTGTGTGTGTGTGTGTGTGTGTGTGTGTGCGTGTGTGTAAGGGGGGCGGGGAGTAACAATGAGTAGGCAAAGAAAATGCCCTGAAATTAAATGTGATGATCACAATTCAAATCTTCGCAATATGAGCGAATGATTAAATCATATGATGTGTGAAGTACAGGACAATAGAACTATTTTTTAAAATTTGTTGACAGGTGCCCCCCCTCTTTGTGACACCACAATACAGAAAGGTGAAAAGTATGCATATAATCTCCCCTTTGAACCATGCTTTTATGGGTGAAATTAAGTACTTAGCACACACACACACAAAAACACCCCCCTCACCACCACCCCACTACCCCTGGCGGCAAGTCAATGACGCTAAGGACAGCGTGGACCTGCTCTGTCAGATGGCTGAGACGTTCAGGAGACACATAGTCTCATGAACTGACTGGTGGAGTTGACCGGCCGGACCTGAGGTCATCAAGCCAACATTTAACCCACTGAGCCACTAAGGCTCCCAGTAATAGCTTATTAATTTAAGACAAGACAAAGAGGCCTTATTCTAAATATGCCCATGATCCTGTAGTTCAAATATGCCAGGTCTTGGACAAAACAGCCCAGCCTCAGTGAAAGCATGTAACATGTTATTCAGTGGCAGAGACCATGAGAGTGGGGGCTGAGGGCATGCATTAGAACCATCCTAAGAAGTACGGGGGGAGGGAGCGGGGGCGGCATGATCAAGGAATCCTGGTGATGCGGTCAGGTCAGCATGGTACTGCTAACTTCAAGGTCGGCGGCTCAAACCCAAGGCCACTCTATGGGAGAAGGATGAGGCTGTCTATTTCCATTGAGATTCACAACCTCCAAAACCCCGCCAACCGTCACTCCCGGTGGGTCCAAGTCAACTGGACGGCAGTGGGCTGAGTGTTTCATCGTCCGGCAAGAGACAAGGAACGGAGCAACTTCATAAGCGTCTGGGTATCGAAGGGACCGATTTCTCTACTAGGGTCACCCGGGGAGTTTGGGGAGGAGTTGAATGATGCCGTACAGCTGAGATGCGACACCCGAGCTTGGCTCCCTCTGCCGCCTCACCTGCTGGTTGAACGCCGTGTTCCCCCCGGGCATGGGCAGGCTGGAAGGGGCCACCTGCAGCAGGTCCAGCGGGGAGCCTGGGTTCGAGCTCTTGTTTTCGTTGGTGGAGTAGTTCCACACCAAGGCACTTGGGCAACAGAGAGTGACAGTCTGCAAAGGAAGGGGGGCGGTCAGTGAGAGGCAGAGCCGAAGCGTGAAGCGTAGCGCTCCTCTCCGGCTTCTAAAGGAGCAGTTGCCCGAGTTCCAACGTGAGCTTCTTACCTTCGTCTGCAGCTTTCCCAGTGGTGACTGGAGGGCAAGAGAATGATGATGTGGAAAAGGGAAAAGTGGGGCCACGGGAAATGCAGGAAAACACGAATGTTTCCGGGCAAAAAACATGAAGGGGTGGGACTAGCCTGTCAATCAGCCACGGCCTGATTGATGCCTCCCTGTGGGCGTGGCCGCCTCGTGAGGATTCCTGAACTTCTCTGGCTCTCTCTGCTTGTTTCTCTTTAGACATTCCTGTTGACAAGCCACATGGAGCCACACTGATGGCAGCCAGAACCCTGGAGATGCGTCCAATGCCATTGGATCCACAGGACTTTCCAGCCACGGCCCTGTGATCTTCCTGCATTCAGCATCATTGCATGTGTTGTGTGTGTCTGAAGAGGAATTCATGGGCTAATATCGGACTGATGGGCTAATATCAGACTTATAGACTTGATCTGGTTGGGGCTGGGGTGTTTTCTCAATATACTATTGCTCTTTGGTAGAAAGCTGTTTCTTACACACATGAGTGTGTCTGGATTTGTTTCTCTAGTCCACCTGGACAAACACAAACCACAATCGGGCTGGTGTAGGTGGAGGCAGCGAGGCGTCCAGGTGGCACCATGGTTAAGTATTCAAATGCTGACGGAGAAATTGGTGGTTTGCAGGCTCCACACAGGAAGACGTGCACACCATGGCAGGGCAGTTCTACTCTGTCATGTGGCTTCCGGGTCAGAACAGACCCAGCGGCACCCAAGGTGTAACAGGTGAGGGCAACGAGTCGTATCTGGCTTGATCCCAAACAGGGTGGCATCAAGTTGACTCATGGTGACACATGTGTCCCTTCATTAGCACTGCACCCCACTGGGTTTTCAATCCTGGGCAAGCCTGTGGAACCCATGACTCACTAGATTCAAACCACCAACCTGCCAGTTAATGTTGCTGCTGTTGTTAAGTGCCCCTGTGTTAGTCTGGGTGGACTAGTGAAACAAACCATAGGCACTCATATGTGTATAAGAAAGAACTTCATATGAAAGGGCAATTGTATATTGAGAAAACATCCCAGCCCAGTCCGCTATTAGCCCACATGTCTGATACCAGTCTACAAATTCCTCTTCGGAGTCACGCAACACATGCAATGACACCCAATGCAGAAGATCACAGGTCATTAGGTGGAAAGTCTTGTGGATGCAGTGGAAGCATCTCAGCGCTGGCGTGGGTCTCCACGTGGCTCCTCCAGCTCTAGGGCTCTGGCTCCATCGGTGTAGCTCCATGTGGCTTGTGAGCAGGGAGACAAGCAGAGAGAGTGTGTGGCCTCCAATGAGCTATTTATCTCCTTCACGCCTCCAAAGGAGGTCATCAAGCTGAGACCTGACTGACAGGCCAGGCACCGCCACTTCACAAGTTGACAGGAGATGATGTAACCGCACAGCCTTGACCCTGGAAACCACTGAAGGAAACGCTGACCGCTCCTGTGCCATCGGTCACGACTGTCCCTGTGCCTGGGGCCACTGTGGCAGCCACTGCGTCCACCCGTCTTGTTGATGGCCTTCCTCTTTTTCACTGCCCTTCTGCGTTACCAAACATGATGTCCTTCTCGGGGGACTGGAAGCTCCTGACAGCCTGTCCCAAGTAGGTGACACGAAGCCTTGCCCCCCTCAGAGTGCCCTAAGGGGCAGCCTCCTCTAACAGCCAAGCACAGCCAATTGCCCCGAGCCTGGTTCCCCAAAAATACCGGGTCACGTGGAACTCCGTCAACAGATTCTTGAAATGACCCCACAGCTTCCCACCCTGCGTTGTGACGCAGGTGGACGGGCCAGGGCCTTACCTGCAACATGCAGCTGAGTCCATACACCAGGGGGCCGTGCTGCGCACAGGAAAGGAAGTCGGAGAAGGCCAGCTGCACGGGGCTCATGCTGGGGCCGGGCGGGCCGGGGCTGGGCGCCCCGATGCTCGAGGGGGTTGGTCCCATCATGATGTGGGGGGAGTGGGCGGCATGGAGACTGGGGCTGTCGGTCAGCAGCAAGGACAGGCGGCGGGCACAGAAGAAGGCGAGACGACGGGACAGGTAGGCCGACTGGACAAACTCATCCGAATACTGCGGAGCAGAGACGTACCAGGCGTCAGGGTCGCCCTCACCTGCGAGCGGAGTGTTCAGCAGCCACAAGGGTGCGGACTTTTTAACCCCGTGGAGCACGCCCGGGGACTAACGGATGCCCAGATGAGGCATGCCCGCTGGGGGGTTTCCGCTTTTCTAGCAGCCGTGCATAAAAGGTTGGCATAAAAGGTGGAATGAAGAGAAGACCTAGTTTCTTCGGCCCTCGATCATACTTGCTGCCATCGAGCTGATTCAGACTCCCGACAGCCCGGTGCACAGCACAGAACCGCATTCTCTAAGGTTCATGAGATTGTAATCTTAGCGGGGCCAGGCAGTCTCCTGACTGGTGGTTCACAGCCTCACACGTAAAGCACTACACCACCGGGATCCCCCTGTGGATGCCCCTCTCCCGGACCCCAGCCCTCTCTGCCTCAACTGTGACCAGTTCGACTGAACTCAGGATAAAAATATTCACGACCTACATGCTTTCTTTCCTACCAAGTCGGAAATGTAGTGTGTGCTGGGCACTCAGTGGAGACGGGCTCCATCTCAGACTCCGAGTGGGGACCACCGTGTGGCTACAGCTCAGAGGGAGGCAGGGGACAGAACAAGAAGGACCCGAGGGTGTCCTGGGTTGTCGCCATGTTGTTCTCTGACAGAGGTGCTGGGTGGGTTGGCACTGCCAACCTTCCCGTTGGCAGTTGAAGCCCCCACTGTCGCACTCCCATGGCTCTTAGGACCCCGTGCCTAGCAGCCAGGAAGCTGCCGAGCCCGGTGTGGACTACCTCAGGGAGAAGACCCAGGCTGCCAAGCCCGGGCCACAAACCCATCTCCCGGAAGGGGAGGAGGGTGCCCTTTCCAACTACTGGATTTATCATAGGCACTTACCACCTTTCGGGGAAAGGAACTGACATTTTGTATCAAGTCAACCAGAGATGGCAGCTTTTGTTCGGAATGCCAAACCTAACTCTAATGAATGTGGTGGCTATATTGTTTTGTTTCTGATTGGACATGTTGAGGGGTATCTTGGGAGTGTCATGTCATTGGGGGCTCACCCTCCTGAAGCT